ATTCTGTCAATATAATTTCAATAAATAATTTAAGGATTAATTAAATTGTCTAATGGGGATACCATTGGAGCTCTACAGGATTGTAATATCGGCGGCGAAACAAGAATATGTGTTCCTCAAAGCCTTTGTAAACGCGATAGATATTTTGTTCTTACATACGACGAAAAGTGCAGAAATGATCCCAACGGACCTATTGTCGTTTGCTGTTTAATGTCGAATTTATTAGTAGGCGTCGTGGAGAACGGATCTGCACGTAACACAACGGAAAAGACTTTGCCCGAACGCAGTATGTTGAATGGCAATGTTTAGTAATGTGATTAGTAAATTATTACATGTACTTACAATTTAATGCAGTGTGCGATGTGTATCATATATATCGTCATAACGAGACGATACGGAATATGACTAGCGGAGAAGGCTCAACAGGAAGATTTCCTTTTTTGGTTAGTGGCAATTCGAATGAAGAATTCATTGTGGTTTCAACAACCAAGACTGTGCAGATGTACATACGTCACATTTTTGCAAATACTAATGAAGAAAAATTATCTTTACAAAGTGCTCTGTCGGTCGCTCTGTTCGGTTATTCATATTAAGGATATAATGGAAGATAGTAATAGAATTTATTGTGCCTCCATGTATTAAATATTTATTTTGAATAGTGGCAATATCGGCCTTGGCCCTTTGATAATTCCATTCGAATTTGATACCCCATCATAGGATATTTTCATGGAAAATTTGAGGTTAGGTCGCCAGGTATTAGGTCTAAGGTCTTTTTCTGCTTTTTAGAGTCTACCATTGAAATGAAGGCGGTTTTAGAAGTTATTCCCATTCCTAATCAAAGCCCCCCTTCGTCTACTTCTATTCAACTAATAACGATAGGACCGATTATTATAGTCGCGATAACTTAGAAATTAGAAAATCTGAAATTTACATCTTTATAATGTTTATATATATATATATATATATATATACGTATCTGTGGTTTAATGTAAGTAGCTGTGGTGTGAACCTTACTTCTCGATGCTCGTTGAGATTTGAGTTAATCGTGCTTAACTAACGCCCTCCAGAGAGTTAGACAATTCCTATTGACTAGGGGCTGGAGTACCAGACTTATTTAATGTGTGTGACCAATAAAAACACTGTCGGGGAGTAATGGGGCTTATTATTACCTCTAATTATTCGCTTTAGGAATAATGAAACCCGCAGCTACCACGACACTTCCCGAAGGACTGTATCCAGCACTCAGGACTCACTACCGCAACTACGATTCCAATCCTAATAACTTGCTCTGCGAGAAAATAAGTAGCAGTAAGTTATGGGAAAAGAAACTGTGAAAAATATGGTGTGGTCACCGTTGAGATGAGCGCACTTTCTTGCTAACGTATCGTTGGCAAAAGCCACCTCTTTGAACGTATTTTAAAGAAAAGCGAGTTGAAGACTCAAGAGTTGAAACCGAAAGGAGCGGAATCATTCTATAACTTTTTACAAACTATTAAGCCAGATTACGATATTGGGTCGAAGCGGTAGGCGGAAGCTTATGGATTGAGAGACATATATACGCGCTTATATATACCTGTACACATATATATATATTTATGCATCCATGTAAATACATCTCACTATTTGTACACGTACTGGGTAGCATCTTTGATGCGCACTTTGTAATATTTTATACATCCAGCATTCCCTAATGGATATAAGATTTCGAAAAAAACTCAGAACAAAAATCTCTTAACATTGTTTATTGATATTTTGCCTACAGTACGCTTTAGGATGGATGGTAAACGATGAGATTCAATATGGTAATGTTGCTGCACTTATCTCAGCCAGATATCTTATTGTCATTCAATTAATGGAGACATCGAAGAGGGTCAGGCGAGTAGCAAAGCAATCACTACACAAAATCCGAGTTAATTCGTTTGTTATTTCAATAATTTTGTAGATGCCCTTCTGTTGCGCGAGCTGTCGGTGTAATCCGCTACGATCAGCGCTTACACAATGTTGATGTTATTGATTGCGTTATACATCCTCTTTATCAATTCAGTATCTATACTCATTATATACTGTTAGTTAAGCTGGCCAAGCATATGGAGTAAGTTTGATTGTATGCATAAGAAGACATTGAAATCTGGGAATATAAGGCCTGTTACGTTTTAGGCCGACATATAATGGGGCGATGTGCCTTTGGACCTCTAACGATATAGACGATCACACTGATCTAAATTTTTTATATAATAAAAAAAACTCTTATGGTTAGCTGACGTAAGTAGCGAAACAAGAAACATAGTTAATAACATTTAGTCTTTTAAGAGTTGGAGACGCTGACTCTCAAGGATTCCCCGACAAGTGATTGTATGCCACACTACGAGGATATTATGCGTTTTCGTTCTCTTAGATGCGCCACAGCTTCAGAGTATCCAAAAGACTCTTGCCCAGTATAATATATGTATATAAGTATTGTTTTATATGAAACTAAAATATTCTCATTTGCAGTTTGACACTAGTTCGCCCTTATTTACCATAGTCAACAATGTACCATTTATTGTAGGGTTCTCCGAATTCTGTACGTCTGGAAAACCTTTTGTTTATTCTTTGATCTCAGATCACATTTCCTGGATCGAAAAAATCATTTGGCCCGATTATTATTAACATTCTTTTACGCTTATATATAAAATATACATTTTTGACTTACTACAAGTATTATTATTATGATGATCGTTTTAGTGAGTGTCGCATGTATGTAAGTAAAATTAAATAAAAGTTCAGATCATCACTCCTGGAATGAGAAGCAGTTGCTACGAGCAGTAATTTGTAATTTGAGTTGAACGATGCTGGAACTACTTGCTGGAACTCTTGCTACTCAATTCTCTTCATTTCACTTAAACTTGCTATCTATCTCTACGTAGAGGAAGTTCTTAGGGATGAAATCTTGTAGTTGTGGTAATGAGTGATGATTGCTGGGTAAGGCTCTTCGAGCAGTTTCCTGATCGCTATGGTTTTCATCAATCCTAAAGAAAATAATTGGAATTAATGATAGTTCTCAATACTTTCCAGAAAGGGTTCAATGGCCATATACATTGAATAAATCTGCGACTCCTGTTGCAGTTGTGGCCTTAAGTCTATAGGGATTGTCTAACGCTCTGTAGGCCGTCGGTTACGGATAATTAAACCGGATGTCGGCAGGCATCTTGATGTGAAGTTTCATGACAGGTACTCACACTTGTTCAAAATATATTTTGTCCATGGATCCCCATAGAGATCTAGCAGGCCAGCCAAAGATAAATAGTCAAACGCCTCTTAATTCACTTGACAGTTTCGAAATAATATGACTCTGCCCAGGTAGGTTCGTGATACGGACACAGTATGTAGAAGAAATTTCCGCCTCCTTTGTTTTTCTATTTTCTATACCATCCTTTCCTTCACTGGCATTTTTCGCTGCTCGGAATTAGTATGAGACCGAGATTTTAGCTTAAATGGCTCAGCAGCTAAGGTCAACTCTGTTGTCGACCGTAACTAAAAAATGTGAAAAATGTTTGAAATAAATTTTCAAACATCAAAAATTCAATTTGACGTTTGAAAAGGATTGCCAACACTAATATATTTTTTGTATTAATAGAGCTACCAATTTATAGTATTATTAAGAAAAAAATTCATCAGCAACTTAACCCATGGAAAAACTAAGGATTAGAGAAATATCTCTGAGGTGATTTTCATGTGGTTATCTTAACAAATGATTCAGCAAATTTTGCCGCAAATGCCTCGTGAATGTTATATCATAAAAACCTAACCTAAAAACAACATTATAATTACATAGATTTCCCTTTTAAGCTTTCGTTGCAAAATTTCTTTTTTTTTTTTTGTTTTATCTTAATTTTTTAAAGAATTGTGTGAGAGTTTACAATTTCCTTTTTTATATTCGGCGATAGTTTAAATTTTATTTTTCTCATTGTTATATTAATTTTTTATAAATTTTATTTTATTTATTATAATTTTTTCTTAATAAAATGCCAGCGACGCTGTAATGACCATAAATCCATATTAATGGATGTAATGGTTGCATATATATATATATATGTTTGTATATATATGCGTATATAATAAGTACTTTAAAAAGTATTGAGCTGTTCAGTAAATCGAAATTTCTGAATTCATTTTAGTGATATTCACATGTGTTGACATTTCAATGTCCAGTGAAAGTTTGATATTTTTTAAAGTATATGGACTATAATTGTGTGCTCATGCTCTGCTTGCATGCAGTAAAATATTCGATATGGTAATAATTTTCAAACCATTTACCAACGGCAGCATGCATCAAAGTTATAATGCTTTGATGCTACTGCGGTTGTGCGTATAAATGGCAAAACACCTGCTGCCAATGACATTAATGACACCTATGAGAGAATGAGATAATTTTACAATAACAATAAAACTCGATATGCTTCTATGTGTGCGCATATAAGTATAATATAATGCAAATATGTTTGTATATTTGCATAGAGACGAATATTTCGCATATCGATCTCCAACCGCTCCCCCCTCTCAACCGCTCACCATAAAACTCACATTTATTCGTAGTTATGTATGTTAACCTTATAAAGTTACACAAGTTATTTGCGATCAATTGATTTTATGAGAAACAAAAAATTAATTCAATATAATTTTTGAATTGAAAAAATTGAACTTTTTTACAATATTTAAAAAATTTTACAAATTAATAATTTAAGAAATTTACAACATTTTTCTCGTTTTACTTAATTTACTGGATGAAGAATTTTGGTGGTTTTCTCTTCTGTCTTTATGTAAAAAATATTTATACAAAAAATATCCAGTGGCTTTATAAAGAATTTGGTTATTCACCTCCACCCCCATCTTGGGTATTATGTATGTGGAAATAATTTTAAAATTTTCTAGTCGGGCAAGACCGGCTCACCACGTGAACTGAAGTATTCGAAGATTGCCATAGCCCATGTTTATGTTTTCTAGATATGAAAGCTGTATGTGTGAAAGCCGTTTCAAAAAGTTCTTTCAAAATAGAACCGTAGATTGTTCCGGTTTAATCCCTTTGCAAATGTTGTCCGTCCTTAGAGCAATATATATCAAGTTATACGAAAATGTATTAAAATATTTGAAGAATATTGATTTAACACATGAATAAACTCAATGGACAGACGGACAGACATGCTTAAATTTAGAAAACCATGGCATATGACTCGGACAATCTATCTCAATTTTTTTTAATCGTAGCGTCCGTAAAGGGTAAGTGTACTCTTGCTACGGACGGTGAAGGTTTATATATATACTCCAATGATATCTTTCGTGAAAAACTTCGGAACAATAACTTGCGGTACACATGAAAACAAGTTACTTTCGGTCTGCTTCCAATTTTTTTCCTTCTTTCTAAGAGAATGTTTATAGGGCCATTTCCCAAGCCCATTCGCAGAATTGAAATTTTTAGTTTTGTAGGTTTCCATTGCAAGTAACGAGAACACCAGAGTTTTGTCGGTGAACAGGTGGCTACATTTAGATACCTTCTTAGTGAAAAGTTCACATTGAACAAGAACATATATGCCTTCTAAAAGCCCTCTGAGTCGTCGAATTTTATTTATTATGGATGTAAACTTTCTAATTCTTTTTAAGGAAAACACAAGAGAAAATATAAATCGCGTTGTAATAAATCTTCACCTATGACTAACCTGTCAAGAATTCGTAGCTTCGCTCCACAAATCCTATTATTGTACCCTCCATCGTTTGCGGAACGGAGCATATTAAGCATCTGTGCATGTATGCAATACCAGAAAGACTTAAGATAGGGCCACTTTTTATTTAGAATCACTTTCTGAATCGATCTAAGTTCGACTGTCTATATGTCCTTTTGATGTATGTCCATGTATTCCCACAATGTTTGAGATATTTCGATAAAATTTGGCACACTTACGCACTTCGACGCAAGGACGAACGCTCTCGAATATGGTTTCAATCGGATCATTGGTTCTGATCTCGAAAAGTCGTTATATACCTGACTGTCTTAAGCGAAGTAATGCGGTCTTGGGCTACTGAGGCAGTTTTTTTTTCTGAAATCCCGTAATAAACAAAAAGAGAGATTTGTGTTTAATGGAACTCTTAAACATGATCCACATGTGTGTGCTTGTTGTGAATATACGAAATATTTTTCTATTGCCTTTCCGTCTTCCGTTTTACAAGCGAAGTAAAAAAGTTAATATAACTTCAAACTCGGATGATTGCTATGAAATGTTTCTTTTATTAAATATTTATCAGACTTTATGTAATTTTTCATGTGCTCACAAGAGAAAAGTGGCGAACAAGGATGCAGACAAAGATAAAGTGATAAATCGCCTGACCTGTTATTCAATAATGTTGTGCTTAATAATTTAGATAAATTGCTGTGGTTGAATTCCTTCGTTATTGTAATAGATATTTGGAAATATTTTTATTTAAAATTTTTTTTTCTTTCCTTTCTCTACTTTACAATAAAGAAATAGGGGAAGTTCATAAGCAAACTTGAGACGAATTGTTTTCTCTCTATTTTTACTAGGCTTGAATTATCCAAAGACTGTAAGGCTTTATGATAAGATTATTATTATTAGTGTGTGGACAATCCGTACCGTAACCAAAAAGATCCATAGATTCATGCACTTAATGGGCAAGGATTGCGATTCTTGCGAATCCTGCCACCTTCATTGGCTCGAAGTATCATACTGTGTCAGGCATTATGAATTGTTCGCCTAAGACTTTGTGTCTGATGCTGCAGGTGATCCCGTATTCACGTAGGATATGAAGTAATGTTTTTCTCCTGCCTTGGGAGAGGGTCCGTGGGCCCAAATCTCAGCACTGTAGAATATACTTTAACACTGTAATGACGATTTATGAATGTTCGGTCGATAAAGGTACAACCCTTGCCGGCGGGGCACCCATTCATCAGGCGGCCACAATTCTGGCTTTAACATGCTTAGCGGACAACCACTGAGCTACTGTCCACCTTCAAAAAAAAAAAAAGAAAAGATAACTTATAGTCAAATAAATGCTTCCTTTTTGGATGCGAAGTGACTTGAAAAAACGTTTTCTAACTGCTAACGTCTTTAAGATGATCTTGAAAACTGGTGGCGAACGATTAATCCTCCTCTTCTGTCCTCTTCTGTTCTCTTCACTGCAATATGCGATGAGGGATCGATGGACGGATGAACGGAGATAGTGAGAATAACAAGAGATATCTAAATCTTGTTAGCGCATTTTATGTGAACCATAACAGAAGATCTAGCGGCAGAAACCACTCTGGTATATTCCAAAGTCTTAGTAGCGACTATAAAAAGTTTGCTTAAGGTCACGAACATCGAAAATTCATTTCAAAGCGAATAAAGCTGTCGTTTTCGCATCATTTCGTAAAGTTAATTTTTTTTTTTTTTTTTGCTAAATATTTTCATCAAAATTTCAATGACTTTAGATTTTATAAAATGTTTTTTTTTTCTCTTTTTTTTTTTTTTTCTTTTTGTTTTCATATTTGCGACGAAAGAATACTGTAAATATTCATTTTGAGTTTAGTTGATGGTTACAGCTTAAAAGCTTTTGTGGTCAGCGGTTGAACAACGACTGCATAAATAACCAGACAAAGGAAAAAAAAAAAACACAAAAAT